TATCCAGTACAGCCATATCGAGTATAGAGCCCTGTAATTTATACACTATAATAGTATATACTATTATTAAAGGGAATTGTATCCTCTTACATTGGGTATTCCTTTACGAAAGAAAGTCTTATATAATAAGGGAGACAGGGACTATATTCTAGAATCTTTCTTAGTCCAAGTCGGGAAAGCAATACGGACTAGTATAATAATTAAACCTAATTAGCACAATAAAGGGGGTTCTATAAGGATATTCTTTATTCAGTATATTTCAATTGGGAAATGTACTATCCTAAGTAATATTAAAAATGGTATTTAATGTACTGTTGATTAGGTTAATTTTAGTTTAAATATTTTCGGTAGGTATTGCCTTACTTCTAATTATTAAAGGGAAATTAAACTATAAGTTATTAACTTCAGTAGGGTCTATATTTTTAGTGCTAGCTTCCTCGTAGTTGATAGCAAGTATAAGGTATAGTTAATATAAAGATTTTATATATTTAATATTATACGTGGCTATATTACAATACTTTAGGTAGATTCGAAGAATATATTTGAATTAAATAGCCTGTTTATAAAGTAATTGTATCTTTATTTAAATATATAAAATTCCTAATATTAACGAATAGGTTAATTATTCTATGGTCCTTCAAATATATCTTTTAATAGGGTTTAATTATTACCTTATCGTTGTATAATTTATTATAGTTTAATAATTTTCTTAAAAGTGTAGTAATAATTATAGTTATTAGCCTTAATTATTAGTAAAACAGCCTAATTATAAAAAAGGGATTTTTATATTACTAGCGCTAATTAGTAGAAATTATTAAGTGTGACGGCGCCCGCTAAGATATACTACTACGACCGCTATATCCCTAGGGGAAGTTTAGTACTATTGAAGGCCTACGAAGGTTGGAGGAACGAGTGATATAGAAGGTCCGAACTAAGATAGATCAAGATAGGCTCAAGCTTATTAAAGGTATTTACCCTTATTTATTATATAGGTGAAGGGGGATACGAGTAAAGGGATTAGTTGATAGCGACTTGTATATAAGTCCTATTTTTGTTTATATAGTTAGGGTTTTTATTTGGGTTTATACGCTTATATTTAGTTCTCTTCCTCTTTTTCTCTTTACTTAAAATCTTCTATTATAGATAATGTTTAAGCCTTGCCTTCGATTTCCCTATTTTGTACCTTTATATTATTTTAAGTCTCTTTAATCTATACTTAGGAAGGTTAAATCCTAAATAGAAATTGAAACCGACAATTGAACCAATTACTATAATTTAAAGAACAATAAGTTATAATAATTATAATTGATATTATAGCACGCCCGTATATTCATTCGTAGTAATACTAGTGTTGGAGCTAAAGGCCTAATTAAGAATTACGTTAAAAATAATTATATTATTGATAATTGTTTTAAAGAAGGGAATTCCGAAGTCGATAATAAAATTGACGAGAGCTTCTACGAAGGAGACGTTAGCGACAAAGCGGAGGTTAAATCGTTAGAAGAGATAGAATAAGCTACTATTAAGTTTAATATCAATGAGAAGAGGAAGATTGTCGCCGATAGAAAGGTTGCTTTTAAACCCTAGTGCGTCGACCCTATTATTAAGAAAAATGTGAAGTTTTTTATACGCTTTGATAAGGAGCTTTTTAATAGTCTTACTTATTCGAAGAGAGATCCTATAGTAAATTTATCCTTCTCCGAAGGAAGATTTTGGTATCTTTATGTAATTAATGTAAATCCTCTTTAGAAGTACTAGCCAATACCTTGGCTAAAATTAAGGATGATAAGGAGGAACCTTCATTGTAGTTCAATTTATTTAATTAATATATTAGTAGTAAAGTTAATAAGTATAGTACTGCTTTTAATTTAAAGGATTTTATTAAAATTTTGAAGAATAAAATAAAGGAGTTTATTGAGTTCTTTATTTGTAACGCTATTCTTTGTATTTCTCATTATACTTTATTACTTATTTTGAAACTCTTATTTTAAAATTACTTAAACGAAATTAATTTTATTATACTATATACTAATTACCCTACTAATATATTTTAGTAGTTTAAACTTTGAATCATAATAGTTATAACTTTAAGCTAAAAAAACGATGCTGAAATTGGAAACGCCGATTTCTAATCGAAGAGTGCTCTGAAACGAAAACCGATAATAGCAATCGATTTAGGAGGGTTATTTATATCCCTTACAATATCCTACGACGAACGTAGCGATAGTGTTGTGTTGTTGTTGCTAATGGCTATAAATGGCGGTATTTATAGGTTTGAAAATGATATTTATAACCCGCTCGTAGAAATCTCTATATATAACGACCCCGAAATTATATATTTATTACAAAGACTTCGGATAAAATAGAGGAAGACGATAAAATATTGAAGAAGTTCATTATTAGAGTGAATAAGTTTGTAGATTATAATATTATTTCAACCGAAGATTAATATTAGGTTCGAGAATTATTTTTCGAATTTATATAGGCTTATATTAGAAAAAGTAGGTTTATACGACCTAAGGCTAATAAGGTTGGAACCGATTAATTTATTACTAAGAAGGATTTTAATAATTTAAAGAAGGATAATTTAAAGGAGATTAAGAAAGGTATTTAGGAGGTACTAAAATAATAAGCCGGTATTATAGCGAAAACTATCCCGAATAAGATTAGTATTACCCTCTAATAATTATTTATTATTATTAGTAAGTTTATTCCCTTTAATTTAGAATGGTAGTTTATTATTAAGGGAGTAATTATTATTATTAAATTTAAATATTATTCGAATGAAGATATAAAGACGGCTGTAGCGACGACCCTAGGTTAGAAGAAATTAAGTTTAATAGTTAAAATAGCTATTAGAATACAAATATTTGGAAATTATATAATCATTCTTAATAAATTTATATATAATTAATATTAGTAAAATTAAGTATAAGCTATAAAAGTCTTTGGTAAGGAGGCTTTTATTGCTATAAATATTATACGTATATTAATGTAGAGCGTACTTTAAAATGACATTAATAATTATGTTACGTTGGAAGTATTAATAAATATAGTAAGGGATAAGAATAAGGAGGTAGCTATTATAAGAGTTCGGCTTTAGAAGAAAAGGGATAGAGAGAATAGAAGTTTATTTTTTAATAAAAATCGCTACTTCGAAGGCGGCGAGCTTCCTCTAGGATAACTTCTTCCTTTAGGACGGCGGCGTATACCCTTACGAATTACTTTAAACTATAAATAATATTTAGTAATATTTTAAATATAAGGGAATTAGATATATAAAAAAATTTTATTATTAGGAAGATATTTATACTTATTATAGCGAAATTAAATACGAAGGAAATTACTTTAGCGAAGTAAATTATCCTTCGAATAAGGATAGATTATTAGTTTATTATAAACCGTATAAGAAGAAGGGATATTTTACTTATAATTATAAAAAATACCCCCTTCTTTAGAAGGTTATTACGAAAATATTTATTATATATACCGAAAGGCCGGAGGCGTTTGCCCCCCTTTGTAAAAATTTAGTTAAAAAGATATTAGAGTTAGTAATAGAGATTATAAATAAGAATATTTTATCCAACGCTCCTCTTCATTACTATACTATTACTATTTTAGAGAGATAAATTAGAAGAAGTATAAAGAGAGGACGGCCGAAAAAAATCGTTAGCCCAATTTCCTACCCGAAACCCTTAATTTAGTAAAGTACGATAAATATATATTATTTACATTTTTAAAACGTAGGGAATTAATTATATAGTAGTAATAGTATTTATACGGTTGCAGCTCTCCTAAAAGAAGTAATACTCTTATCCTACATTAGAGAATTAATAGGAACCCTATTTTAAGGTAATTAATAGTTTAATTAAAATATTCTATTTGAATATAGGGAAATTATATATGAAAGGGAAGCTTCTAGTCGAATAAAAGGAAATTTATAATATTATAGCGATTTAGAAACCGGGTAAAAATTTAAATAGGGATATTTATTATTCTAGGGGCGGGAAATATTTCGGAATTAATTGTTTGGAGTAAAGAAGGGCGGTAATATATATAAATAAGAAGTAGAATTTAAGAGATTTCGAGTTTTAAATTAGAAGGGATTAGATTGTAGTAATATTTAAAAATTTAAGAGATTTAATAATTATCGATTCTATTTATTCCCCTATCCTAATATAAGGAATATTAGAATATTAATAAGGGTCCCTACTCTTTAAATTCTTCGAAATTGGACCTTTAGCGGGAAATTAAATTATTATTATTAAGGATTTTAATTTCTACTACCTAATTAGAATTTAGAGAATAGGATTGATTTAAGGACTATACGCTTTTTTATATAGGTATAATATTAGAGGCTTAATTCATTTACCTCCTATAATAAGTTAATAAAGTTTGGTAATATAATATAAAGAGAAAGAGATAAAATAATAGATTATATATAATTATTATTTAGGGTTGAAATTGAATATTAAGGGGCGTGATAGTACGAATAAACTAATGTGGACTATTACCCTTAGGAAATTTAGGTTAAAATAGAAAGAAGGAGTAGGAAGGAAGAAAAGGAAGAAGGCTATAATTAGCATTTTATAAATATAATAAAGGTAAAGGAGGCGGTAGAGAAATAGATTTTAATTCCGGGAAAGATTAATATAGTAGAAGAATTTGAGTAAGGTTTTTATAGGTTTGATAGAGAATTTACTAGTATTATAGAAGAATTCATCTTATATTAGAAGAAAGGTCGGAGGAGGAGAGTGAATTAATAGATATTAGAATATAAAATAGTTATAAAGAAAGTATAACGGAAGTATTAAATGTAGTTTAAATACTAGATATCATTAAATTAGAGGGAGTTTATTAAAATAACGATAAAAAAGAAGAAAATTATTTCGAAAGTATAGTAGGCTATATAGCGCGAAGGTATTATTAAAGTTTTAAAGAATCCGCATTAATTTTAGCCTTTAGAGAAATAAGTTTGAATTTGAACTTATTACTTAATAGATCCGCCTAAATTATTAGCCCTCCGAATTAGTAAGGGGGTAATAAAAATTAAAGATTATAATAGAAAGGTTAAAATCCTTATTGATCGTTTCTTTTTAAAGGTAGATATTCCAATAGAATATTCAATAAATTGGATTATATTGATAAATAGCGTTAATCTAATAGTTATTAGTAAATTAGTTATTAAGGAGGTTATTTAAAATATTCTTTTCCGGATAATATTTAATAAGGCTCCGGGCGTTGATTAGTATTTAAATAAATTATTAAAATTGTGTAGATAATTATTTTAATAGGTATTAGTATATTTAGTAGCTATCAGTTTCCAATTTAGATATTTCTTATAATAGTTTAAGGATATAAAAATAATTACCCTTAAAAAGCCCGGAAAAACTGCTACCTAATAGAAATTAGTAGGTATATAGAAACTTATATTATTATTTAATAATATTAGAAGAACTTTTAAAGCCCTTATAATTAAGAGATTTATATATAAGTAATTAAATAGTTTAACCTCCTATTAGAGTGTTAAATAGGTAATTAAAGAGATTATTTAATAGAATTTATAGTCCGGGTAATTATTAATATAGTTTATATAATTTAGAAATTAAGGGCTATAACGTCCTTTATACTCTTTAATTTAAAGGGTACGTTCAATAAAATTAATTATAAGTAGCTTTTATATACTTTATAGGAAATATAATTCGTAATATAGATTATTAAGTAAGTAGCGAGTTTAATTATTAATAGGAGAAGTACTTTCTTTTTTAATAATAAAATATTTTACTTTTATACTATTATAGTAAATATACTTTAGGGTTCCCCATTTTTATTTATGTTTTTTTTTCTCTTTATTATTTTATTATACTAGAAGTTAATAATAATTTTAAATATAATTATAATTAGTTTTATACATAATATTAATATTATTATAATAGTTTATACTATTAAAGGAAATTGCCAGGCCTTAGAAGTAGTATAGGAAATATATTTAAAATAGGCTAGGGTAAAAGGTATAGAATTTAAGGCGAGTAACACGGAATTAATATATTTTATACGGATAAGGGTATTAAGGATAGAAATTCTCTAATCCGGGAATATAGTACTTTTATTAATAGAATCGATAAGATTTTTGGGGGTTTAGTTGGATTATAAGTTTAATTATTAGGTTTATACGGAAGTAGTGTAATAAAAGATAAAGATTTAAACGAATATATTTATAAAGTTAGTAGTGAAAATATAGGGTTGTTCTTTTATTTGAATAAAGGAAATATATATTAATTATATTTATAGTATTATTATATATAGGGCTTTAGTATTTTATTAATTAATTAACGTCTACGGGAAATTACGAGGGATTGTGATTAGATTAACGAAATATTAGATTAAATATTTGAGAGTTATTATTAGGGAATATAAAGCTACGTTAGTATAGAATTTAAAAATAGAATTTTGTATTTACTATTCCATTTTTAATTCAATAAAAGGGCCTGGGCCTTTAAATAAAGGTTTATTTAGATGGACTAAATAAGGTTTATTTAGGAAATAGTAGTTTGGATAGTTGATTATATTTAAATATAATAAATTAGAAGTTAGTTACCTATCAAATGAATTAGGGAGTGGTGTAATTGAAATTAGGTAGGTTGAGGCGTAGGTATTAATAGAGAAACTTCTAACGATTACGGCCGGTCCCCCTTTAGAATTAGGAACTCTATTATTATTATTATAAATTCCGGAACTTATAGTTATTAATTATAAAGAGTAGTTAGGGGATGTAATGAATAGAGAGTAGGTATTATGCTATAACTATTAGTTAGTAGCAGTAGTAATCAAATTAGATTAATAGTACGAATTTACTATTACCGACTTTACTTTTGAATTTAGCGGTAAAATTATTTTATAATATATAGTTAGTACGAAGAAGGAAAAAAGACGAAGGAGAAATCAAATAATGGAAGAAGATAATGACGAATTATAATTACTAATTAAAGCGAAGAATTTCTTTTTAATTTAGGTTAAAATAGAAGTTATAGGATATTAGGCTTTTCTTTTCCGAAGGAAGGTACTAGGTATTTAAATACCTATCTACGCCCATAGATTAGAAAAAGAGACCTTTGCTTATATTATTCTACATTACTTTAATATCGAAGGCCTTTTTTAATTAGATATTAAGAATTAGTTATTAACGAAAAAAGAGTTTTAAGATTACTTGGATAATAGAATTAAAGTTGAGAGGATCCTATTATAGGTATTAAGGTTAGGTAGATTAAAAGAGTATTAGTTAGTAATTGAATTAAAGGAGGAGTAGTATAAGAAATTTATAAAGTATTCTTAAGAAGGGAATGGATTATTAATAATATTAGAATAAAAGAATATAGGGACGGGGAGGAGACGATTGTACTAACTATGGGTACTATTTATATTATAATTATAGTAAAAATTGAAGAACTATTTATTTAATATTTAATTGTATTCAAAAAGTTCTTTAAAAAGGAAAAGCCTCCTCGCACCCTCCCGTTACCTACACGTACCCTCCCCTACAAAGAAAAGTGGGACTACAGCTGTATGACACCTAACATTAAAATTCTCGTTTTTGCCCGCGAAATCGAACCTTTTAAATACACGCAATATCCCCTCTAATTTAATTATTTTTTTTCACTCTTTTTCACACAGCTATTTACACACAACATATATAGACTGTAACACCGTAACGTACTACACCCTAACGTACGTAGTATACTCCCTTAATATATTAATAATCCTCTTAAAAATATAATTTTATTTAAGTTAATTAATTTTAATTGCTTTTAATTATTAATAAGCGGGCTAAATATTATTTAAAGCCCCCCTATTAGTGCAACCCCTCTCTCTAATATAATTTTATTGCTATTATTATTATAATTTAAATATTATATTAATTACCTTTGCTAATTGTCATAGGGCTAGCGCCCGGGTTATAGACTTTAGTCTCTAAGACTAGAGTTATTATTAGCTACAGTAGCGTAGAGCGCGCAGCCCTAATAAAAACCTTTCAGCGCCGGTAGATCCGCATTTTAAATAGACTTTTTCTCCTTTATAAAACCTTAATCAAACTATACAATTAATACCCGTATTAACCGTACTATCCCTATTATATTAGGTTCTATTTAATTAATTGAATTAATAGATTAAGATATATTACTACTATAATAATGATGGTAGTAGTACGCTATATCGAACGTAGAAGAAGAAGCTATATAATTAATAGAAGCCTAATAAATAGAGAAGAATAATTTTATTAGAAATATATTTACAAATTTAGTATTCGCTAACGCTATTAAAGCTATAGTTAGTATATCGCCTATTCTTTAAGGAGTATAGAGCAACCCTTAAACGCCTATTTAAGTAACTATTCCTATAATTATTATAACCCTTAGCGTTATAATTAATACTACTTAAGAAGCCGCTCCTATTACCGCCCTTAATATTAAATATAAGAATATTTAAAAGTTAAAGTAGGATGGATCTACTTTAACCTTCCCTCTATTCCTTATACGGCTACGTTTTATATATAAAGAAAAGAGAGTAATTAGAGCGATTTCAAATAATAGATTAGGATAGTTAATACTATTTAATATATTCCTTAATAATAAAATAATTAAGGTAGAAGCTTTTTAGTATTGTAGCTATATAAACAATTTCTACCGGCCTATTAATTAATTTAATTATTTAAAATTAATCTTCGGTAGCGAAAATAAAAAGTAGTTTGTATTAATTCGCCTACGAACTATTTACTAATATAAGAATTAGAATTTTGCTAATTTCTTCCCGGTTTTTAAAAAGAATTTAATGAAAGTAGGGGGCTTCGTATAGGAAAATAAATCCTAATTCGCCTAATTGGATACCTTTATATCCAATATTCTATATAATTAATTAATTTCGGTCCGGATACTTAAAATTTATAATAAATATATAGAAGATTCACAAAATATTATTTAATAGTTCGAAGCGAATAGAACCTTCCGTAAAATTAATAGGAGTAATAAGGGAGCTATTAACCGCTATTAAAAGTCTTTCTTTCAATGAAAATAGGTTACCGACCTACCTTCGAAGAACACTAATAGTAATACGTATATAATAATAGGTATTATTAAAATTAAAAGTGAAAATTATAATAAGGATGCTAAGTATACTAAATAGGTTTCCTAAAAGGAATATAATAAGCAGCGTTCAGCCGGGCTTTATTTATATTATAGAGTTAGTAGGTATATAGTTAGTAATTGTATATATAAGTTAGCCTAGCGTTCTAATAGCGTTGGTATAAGAATTACTAAAGTTAAGTCTCAAATTGAATTATTATTGGAGGATATAAATAATTCGTCCTCTAAAGAATTAAAAAAGGAGTAGTTCTTATACGAAGCCGGATATAGGAGTAGATAGAAATATTAAATAAGGAGGCTGGAGCCTTGAATTTCTCCAGTCTTATAGAAATAAATATTATTAAAATCCCTATCGTTATTAATAATAAAAATCGATTCTATACCATTGTTAATAAAGGTTGTTAATATTATACTATTATTAGTAAAAGAGTCGTTAAAGATTCTAATAATTCTAATTCCTAGGAGATAAATTAGAGGCGCCTCCGCCGAAATAGAAGGTATGGAAATTAAAGGAATTATTTATTTTAAGGTAGATATTTATAGTTACGAGTTAGTTGTTTATATTTATATAATGTCTAAACCAAAATTCCTTATAATTTTAGGAAAGTTATAGTTAATAGTTATAAAAGCCTATTCGGTACTATATGAATATAAACTTTAGTACGGGGCAGCTGGGTACTAGATTCTATATTTAAAATATATATTTAAGGAATCTTCTCCTCGCGCTATAGAAATTAGAGAAACTATTTACTATTTAATTACAACCTTCGTAACTATATTAAATGGGATTAAGAAAAAGAGTAGTAAAGAAATTGCGGAATTAATAATATTTACTATTAGTCTATAAAATATTAAGAAGGCTCTTAAACCTAAAATTAATATAATTAATAGAGAATTCAAAGCGAGGATTCCTATTAATATATACGATTTACTCTGCGTATAGAAATAGTTGGAAGTAAATAAGGTTAATCTATATTACTTTAATATTAATTATAAAATAGAAATTAAGAAGAACGAAAACGGTAGGGAAATACTACTCCCCTATAGCCTACTTTGTAATATAT